TACTAGTTGTTCTGATCAGCCTGCATGATATACTATTTATCTTTCAAATGATTAAAAATGCAGAACAGTGCAAATAAATTAGCAACAATACAAACCTGTAAACCCTGATGTTATCTAGTTTCAACTGTTGTGTAATATGCCGCGTTGGAAAAAAGATCGGTTTTCCGCCGTCCGCCGCATATTATTGTTTCGAAGCGCAAGTGTACGTGAAGAGCAGTGGCATTTGTTAAGTGGACATATCGCTTAGAGCCCCCAGCAAAGACTATAACCAGCGTGCTAAGTCCCCTCATGGGCGGGATATAGAGTAGTTGAGAGCCTGTTGAATTTCGGGTGTGTTCAGGGAGCTGTCTGGTCAAGAGACGTGCATGAACTGGCTGATGGGACAGGACTCCAATTGCCTATGCGCTCACCCCCGTCCCCGCATCCCCGCCCAACCCCCCCAGACCACAAGCACAAGCCAGAAGAAAGGGCTTTGGATAAAAATCCACTCTTGTAATAACCCATGTGTAGCACTTAAGCTCTCAGCCCTGTCGTGCAGACCCGAGACCTTATGAGAGCGCGAGTAGACGATGCCAATGAGAAACCGTCGCTTCAGGCGCCGTGAACCCCGAAGTCACCGAAACAGTCCAAGCTGGGAGTAACGAACCCTAAATTTCCTAAGCCCTGATGAACGTCTAAACCCACAGGCACGCGCAAGGGCTTCGCACAAGGTCCTAACGAAGTGACGGCCCTCGCCTGACCCTTAGAAGAGAATTCCCAAACTTGAGACAGCCACGGTAATCTGGCGCGGCGATTCGAAGAGCATCAGTTGTACTGGGTGTTGGTGCGTTTGGTTCTTCTCGTTGTCGGTTGTGGTATGTGTGGTTTTTGTGAGTGATTTCTTGCTTTCTTTGGTCTGGCTCAAGAGTTTCTGCCGTTCTTCGCGCTGTAGGATGTTGGGTGTATCTAGTCGGTGACTGTTGGAGAGACCTCAAAAATTCCAGGGACAGATGGATCTGCCAGAGGGTGCTCATGGATATGTATGACAGAAACGGTGAGCACTGCCATCGCCCGGGATCATCCGTTTCGGATGGTTATGTTAAATCGAAAGGCCGAAGTTGTGCTAGTTCGGAGTGCCGTCCGCAAGGAACCACGCCTGTCTATCGCAGCTGATTGTTCTACACCGCGCTGCCGGCGCAAATTCAACTGCGCTTGTCTGCGCTTGTGGATACTGAGTTTCTTCAGACTCTCCGAGAGAACGGCAAGGCACAGCTTCCTGTTCAAGCGACTCAGGGCCCAAGCGAATGGATTCCTACTTCAACATACATCTTCCAGGAGCTGCATGTGGGGCAAAGAGGTCGACTCACATGCAGCTGTGGAGGAACTGCATCCACCCGTTTGAGGGCCAAGAGCAGTCCCAGCCTCAGAGAGTTTTTGGGGGCTGGGCCTCGCCTCTGCAGCTCAGGCCAAAGGACGGGACCGAGCTTCTGCTGCATTCCGATTGCTCCCAGGGCTCGGAGCCGAGCCTCCCACAACAGCTACCATAGCTACAACAGCTATGCCGGCTATGCCTCCCGCTTTTTTGAATCTGCCGACGTCGCGAAGCCACAAATACAGCCACCAGAAACTGAACGAGGTCCGACTCAGATTCATACCAGTGGCCGCGTTGACATGGCCAAATGGATGTGATGCCACTTATGTGTGTCTCAAGGTGCTTTGAATCGAGCGTCTACATGGGGAATAGCTGGTTTTGAAGTGACAACATGGCACTGATGTGTATCGAGCGGATTCATGCGAGTACTTGGGGATTCAATGTCATACTCTAGATTGACATGCCCACTACTTGAAACCCCAGCGTCCGCGATAGATGCTGAAATTGAACCTGCACGACTCCAAGACGACACGCGGCGTCTACAGCGGGAGTAGGACCGCAATTAGCATTGTTATTGATGTGTGTTCTCGCCCCTGATGTGTAACTGCCTGAAACAGCATCCATTACTCCGGCAATGTGTATTCTCACCGACTGATGTGAGATAAGCCCCACGTTTGTGAACTGTATGCTATTCGTCATTGCATCAACGAGGCATTGTTTGTCACCGAGTTCGCCCGTAAGGTGAGCATTGTCACCTACACTGATTCTGTTGCTGGCAAGAGCATGGCTACCAGATTCGGTGCAGGTAGACGCAACAAAAAAGGTTGAATTGCGGTATTTCTACATGCAGATTCCCTTCTGTGCGGGATTGCCGCAATTGTGCAAGGTGCACACTTCGGCTATCCCTGCTGATGTCTTCGCTAAGTACAATTATACTGAAACATTAGGCCACCTGATTGGTAAACTTGGGCTTGTCCGCAACGTCTTTGGTCTGTAGCACTGTCATTGTCTCACCGTTGCCTGTGCCTTGAAACCAGAACGATTGTTTCATTGCGGCTCAGACCTTAGCATTGATCTGTTTGCGAGCAACTTTCACCAGATTGTGCGGTCAATTGGATCGGCTTTATTGTTTGAGGGACCAAAAGAGATTGATGAGAGAATTGAGTGCGAAGATGAAGAGATATGGTTGAAGAAATGACACTAGCTTGCCAACCCACGGCATGACTTCGTTCATATTAAGGTCATTCCAAGTTTTTTGTGTGTGCTTTGTGAAACTGCGGGTACCTGCATCACCTCAGCCTGCGCTTCACAGGACAAATCCCCAACTGTCGTCATGAGCTGGAGCCCGGACGTATGGAAATCGAAACCCTGAACCATCTCAGCTATGGTTGGCAATCCCTGTTGCGATGGCGGGGAAAAAGAACCCTTCAATTTGAGAGTCCCCAGCAACTACTCCCCTTCACAACGCGTCACCATTCACAGCTCTGCAGCGGTTTGTAGACCTGGGATCCCGTACGGTGAAGCACCGGGCATCTGCACGCAATGATGTGCGACATCACCACCTTGGACGGTGGTCGACACTGACATCATTCCACCTGATGGAGATGTGCAGGTGTTGGCGTTAAACCCGAAACGTTCCGAAGACCATCTCTGCCGGGGATGGCTGTTCTGTTGTAGCGCCATAGCCCTGCCCATGCCGAAGCTGGACTCATAACCTGCTGATGTGAACCAGCAGAGGCAGAAGAGAACAGCTGTTACAAATGTCAAAAAAAGGCAATGGGTTTACTAGTTCCACCAAGGCAGGCGTGCGCTGACCTTTCAGGCTCGGTGTAGCCCAAGTGCCAAGATGCGACCCTTCCAAGCGCGTTTTTGCGAGGAGGGCAACGCTGGGGGCCTCAAGGCTGGCGCACGCTGGCATGCGGGAGATGTGTGAGGCTCTTGGTGTTATCTTCAGGTGCGACAGCCGCAAAGAGAGGCTGGGATTCTGCATACCCTGTGCCACGCAGCCTAACAGCTGAGAGTTTGGAAGGCATCGTGCGAATACATGAAAAGCAGCCCCCAAAGCTGAGTTCTTAACCCGCGCAGGTTGGTTGAGCTGATGCCCATTCAGTCTCTAAGGTTCGCGTCCAGGAAAGCCGTGCATTCCGCCCGCAAAGTTTTGGCCTTATCGAGGCTTGAGGCTTGGGCGGCTTGGCATGGACATCAAATCTCATTGCCAGGAAAAACGAGTTGGAGGTGCGCGCGGCAGCTATGAAGAGCCCTGCGCTGCCAAGATCAAGTTCTCAGGATGGAGCTCGGTCAGCGAATCCTGGATGCAGTCACGTCGGAGAGCCCGGTTGTTGTGTCGTCAGTTGCCCTTTCGGCCTCGTAGCCATCGTGGCCCAGGCCTGTTATACAAGAGGCGGGGCGCACAAAGACACTCCAATTGGACCACGACTTTGAACTGCCCGCTGAGGAACAATGCAAAGGATTTTTCTTGTATGGCCTGCAGCACAGAGGAAGACTCCACCTCTGTGGTTCTTCTGGTTGCACTGCCTGGGCTAGGTGATGTCACCTGGTGCAATGTGGCATTTGCAAAAACACCCCCGGCATCAGTGAGGAGCTTGACATGTCTGCCACCAATGGAGCTCCCTTGTGGGTAAAAGTGCTGGCTGCGAGGTAGGTTTGTCGTATGGAATCGAGGACTCGCGATGCACTGCAGGGTCGTGTTGTCATGCGTGGTCCCTTAGACTCCTCAGGAACGAGACATCTGGAGCGAACTGATCAGCCAGGTTCGGCCGCTAGTTCACAGCACATGTAGCAGCCTTCGAATCCCTCAGAAAATGTTGCCCACGAAGCTCTATGACTGCCGGGAGCTCTAGGAGCTTACGTCAAGAAGTGCAGTGTGCACAGGTAATGCAGTCAGCCGAGGCTTTATCCCACCAGAAAGGTCGATGCCAATGTCTGGCAAGTCGCTACTTTGCTTGACCATGCATGCCTTTCCGACACTGGCTGAAGCATCTTGAAGCCAACAGTGTGTTTTGACACATTTTCGTCTTTGAGGCCGAACGGAACGCGGCGATGCCAAGGAGTGCCCGACACTCAAAGTGGCGTTTGCGGCCTGATTGGATTTCAAGGGATCAAAGGGAGCCGACTGAGGGAGAAGCAGCCTTGCTACGCAACAAAATACGAGTCCTACAGCATCTGCTTGGGAGCCAAGGCGCGCGCAGGTGCAACTCATTTTTTTCACACTGCGTCTTCATTGGAGGCAACCGTCCAAGACGGCCGTAGCTTTGAGACTCTCCATGCTGCTGACCCAGTAAATGGAGAGCTGCAGTAGCGGCGCGTTGGCGGTAGCCGGTAGCCCTAAGTCCCATCTTCATGGAATGCCGCCGCTATCGGTGCACCTCAAGATCGACACAGAGGGCTCCGATTCTCGGTGTTACCGCATGCTCATGCCGGTGCTTGTGGGAAAGTACTTCGAAGCCGGTTCAAAGGATGTTGAAACAACGACACTCAAGTTGGTAAGATGCGTCAACGTCAGCAACTTGCACTCGATCGGGGGGACAACCCCTCCAAAACCTGAGCCACAATGCCGCACAAGGTCCCCTCCCTTGCCCGGAACTCTCCGGAACCCAAATCCGAAATCCCAAGAGTTGAACCCCCGTGCGGCCCGTACTTGATACTTCCACAACCTAAACACGGAGTCTTCCGAACGGTCGCAATTTTTTCCCCACCCAGCACAGTTTCAGAGGAGAACACCAGGCACCCTTGCTTCGCACAGTGCGGCTGTTGGTCGTCCAAGTACCAGAAACGGCAACAGTGGCAGTAGCAGCCCTTCTTCTAAGCGCCAGCATTAGCGGCGATAGTGATAATGGCAGGATAGCAACTGTTTGGAAGAATCGAGTCCTACTAGCGCAAGCAAATAAAGTGATGCTGCAGCATTGCGCGAACAATCATTTGGCCTGGTTGCATCTCCAGCTTCTACGAAGCTAAAAGGTCATTCCAGTCTTTCCCCCGCGAGTGACACGAGAAACTGACTGCTGGGCATTGCTGTATCAGGAATGGCCGGTTCTAGACGCGTGACTTGAATCTGGAATGGTTTGCGGAATGCCCGTCAAGCGATACGGGTTAGACCCAGGCTCCTTTCCAGCGATGACATCCACAAGCTCCGTACACTGGACATGGAGGCGTCCGCTTCTGAAAGCATTGCGAAAAATGTTCCATCAACAGCAAAGAATGTGCTACGATCACTCGCTACATGAGCTGCGTACTGGGTATTCGATGGGTTAGTAGCGACGATCGTTTATCCACGGTTTTGCCGTGGGGTTGCGCCTTGCACCTCAACACAGATAAGAAAGTGTGCGAGACAAGCGGATGCAACGCAAACGTATTGAAGAGTGGTCGCAGCATCCAAGTTGGAGGTGCATTTCGGATGGACCGGGAGCTTTCCTGGTCAGCTCTCTGCAAAGGACACGTGCCAAGGTTGCAGTCGGGATTGCATGCCTTCCGATTCCCCAGGAGCAATTGGCGCTGCAGGCCTGATGTCGCAGCATGGGTGTAGTGTCAGGGACTCCCGCTGATGACTTTTTTTCAGAGGGGGAAAGAGAAGAGAGGCACCAAGATCCTCTAACCGGCAAACGCTGGAAGTGATGTCTTGGATGCTGGTTTGACGGGGCAGTCTCCGCTTAGAAACGTCAGGGTCTGTACACATGTCTGCTTGTTCAAAGGACCCTGGATGCCGCCTCAAAAGCTTGCCGCCTCCCAAACTTCAGTGCTCCAAACAGACTCGATGTCGTTTGCCACCGAACGCAAAGGCTAAAAGGAATATGTTGAACTCGACAAGCAGCTTTGAAGTTGGGCACGAGTGTGTGTGACCGAATGATGCGTCACTGAACCAGTGCCATAGATAGCCCCTCAAGATCCTTTAACTGCCCGGACGGAAGAACTTCCCAAGAACTTTTACCCGCACGGAATGCATCGTGAGGTTGCAACGATGGAGAAGCTCCGGGAAAGCTTTTACTGCACGGGCGGGGACCCCTAAAAGGCGCAGAAGGGCGCAGCAGAAGAGAGCGTTTGCCCAGGCTCGACCTTGGAGGTCTATCGCGAAGGATGGCGGCCCAAGGCCGGGCTCTCTCCATAGCCGAGGGGGAGGAGTGAAGTACCGAATGTTACACATTCCGGGCATCTCTGATTGTACGTATCACTTGCATATTTCCATGTCTGTGTGCTCAAGGTTCTAGC